ATTTGAGAAAAACCATTGTCAAATACACTCTGAAACAGGACTTAACAACCCGTCAAAATAAAAGTTCGGCTTTACTAGAAATTATGACTACGATTTTAGGCCTACAATAGAATATACTTCTCATAATAATATTAACAACAACAATAATAATACTACAATGTATTTAAACATTATTTAAGGAATATATATTATTTGTCCATGGTTTGAGTAAATCTGTTTTGCAGCACTTTGCCAAAAACTAAAAGGATAAAACGTTTGCTAAACTTTTATTTGATTACCACCGTTTTTGATAATATATTTGTATTAAATCATAAAAAGAAAAAAAAATTCTGAATAAGAAACATTTCATAGAACTCTATTTTTAAACAGTTGTTGATCTAATTTATAATCAATTATTGAAATTAGTAGATTAGATATGTTTTAATGAACAAATGTTTCATTTATGTCATTTTAACTGACATAATTTTAATTTTTTAACCATAATTTAATAATACAGTTTATATAAACCGTGATATTTTCTGAGACGGTTATCATACTGTGAAACTCATAGGTTACAGCCCTGCACAGGAGAGTCCCCCACCCCGCCCCCGCTGTTAAACAAGTTACTCAGCAACTTTTACTCTGAGTAAATTTTAAATGAGCTACTTTTTACTTTTACTTGAGTAGATTTTTAGACTGGTACTTTTACTTGTAATTAAGTAAAATTTTATTGAAGTAATAGTACTTTTACTTGAGTAGAAAATTTTAGTACTCTTTCCACCTCTGATGAAATGCAAATAGCAAATGTTTGACCTAAAAAGTGTAGTCTACTCAACATGTACAAAGAAAGGAGGAAGATTATTAATAAAATCATATTTTAGGATACCTAACATGTCTGTGATATTTGTTTATTTGTCTTGCCTCAAGCTATAATGCAAATCGATTTGTAAAATTTGCAGATTCATTTATGGTAGCTTGATATTATAATATTGACGATATATGGTTATTATCAACCACTCAAACATTGCATTGAAGTATCATATAGATTCAGTAAAACGGTAACCAATAGACTAGGCTACTATAATGACGCTGGCTTGTAAACGTGAGCATCGCGATCATTTGTCGTTAGAAAAAAAATAAAACCCATGAAATTATATTCATATGACATGCTGAAATATATGCCACTGTACCTGGGATGAAGACATTTCACACGCAACGCAAGCAGAACACCTGCATGTGACCTCCTCCTACAATGTTCAGGGCTATCATGCTTGTCAACAATTGCACGTGCATGTAGGATGACAGAGTTTACGACAGTAGTAGAGGACAATACTGTTTCCCAACTGTAGGGGGACCCCGAGAGCAAAAGCTACCTGTTGTTACTTTAATAAACAAGTGTTTTCTTTGTCAGTGTCGGCTAGATGAAGTTGACGATGCTGACTCGCGATCTTCAGTAGTGAACGCGCCAGAGAGAAATGCACATTTCATACGGATTACATAAGCAGAGAGCAGTCTGTAGTCTGTTTTCTTTCATTTTGAATTTTTCTGTTTAAAAGTAGACATGTCTGTGAGAGGCAAGTAGGTTACCTTATACACTGAGTTTCGGTTCATTTATGAGACGAGATCCAGTTCACGTGCCGGCGCCTCCGTTTCTTATCTATCGTCTGGTATTTACTTCTTATTTTTTAAACCCAGGCAATTGGTTGATGAAACATTGATTAAAATTAAGATACAATTAATGCAAAACGAAATTCAGGTTAAAGAAAGGTTTTGTGTTTTCTGTTTGATGTCTCTGTGAAAGTTTTAAAGCATTTTTTATGCCGCTTTCAGAGCGCTCACGTCCGTAACGGAGAACACGTCCATAACATTGTTTTTTCCTCATAAATGCAAACCCGAAAAATAAAATAAAACAAAATTAATATTTTATGTACTGTGGAGACTGAGTGCCAACCCTTCTTCATTCGTTGGGTAGTAGCCTACTTTGGTTTGCGCAGTGTAATTCACATAATCAGTAAAAATATATTTTGCCTCCTAAAGTTTTTTTTTTAAGAAATCAGAAATCCCTCGTGGCTACGCCACTGCCACATTTGAACCTGACTGTGTTAAACACACCACATACTCAAGAACATCAAACCAAATGCTTGGCTTACATTAATGTGTAATATAAAATCTGACCATGGAGTTGACTTTGGCGGAAAGCTGAAAGTGATTGCTGATAGGCTGTCCCAATCAGTGGCGCCTGCACAATCCAATCACGTTTGAGAGGGAAACAACAAATTGAGGGTTTCCGAGATTTTTCTTTTTTTTTTACTTTTTTTTTTTTTTACTCGGGTACTCACGGTTATAGATAGAAATGTATTGGAGTAAAGAGTACAATATTTGCCTCTCTAATGTACTTGAGTAAAGTCATGAGTACTCCCCAAAAATGATACTCGAGTAAAGTACAGATCCCTCAAAATTGTACTTAAGTACTGTACTCAAGTAAATGTACTCCGTTACTGTCCGGCTCTGCTTAAAGTTTACTACTGTTACACTTATAGTACACTTAAACATACTTTTATATACCAATTTAGTCCCAAGCGGTATTAAAATAGTACACTTACAAGTTTACTACTAGTAGTACATATTGACATTAGTATACTTACTACATAATTATACTTAAAATATACTTGAACATTACTTAAGTATACTTCATAAAATGAACTTGAAGTATACTTCTTTTTTGTAAGGGGATTCAAATTAGCCGGTGGATTTTCCATGTTCTTGCCGAACAACATTTTTATTATCTATTTGATAGTAGAGGGTGAGCTATAAATCTTTCTCCATCTGTGCTCTTTATTTGATTTATGACCCCAGTTTCTCTACACAGTTTTAAACACATAAAAACTTGTTCATATTGGCTGGATCCCATTGTTTGTGTTTCCCAGCAGTTTTGATTCAATGCTTTAATCTCGTTTTTCTTCAGAACAGGACAGTGAGTCATTGTGGTTTTGGATATCTGGAACTACACTGGAACCTCATACACACCTACTGTTAAGTTGCTTAATGGGCCTACAGCATATTTTGACAGTTCCGTTTAGCAGGGTAACGTAATTTCTTGAAGACATTAAAGCGACATGCTGAACATTTGACTGATGTCGAAACAGAGCGTTATGGAGTCAAAATGGCATAGAAATGCAAGCTTAAACATGTTTTGAACTCAGTCGCCTATTTAACTCCAAAATCTTTCAGACTAAGAGCTGCTAGACAGTGCTATTATACTAAGCTAACATGGCTGTATGCAAACTGTAGGCAAAGTCTGGAGAGAGATTATCATGTTTTGCATGAATGAATAGAGTTAAGTCAGTGTCTTGCCCAAAATACACAATCCATTGGGAAGCCTGTTGCACAGGTGTGTGATAAAAGAAAGGGATGAAGGCTTGGGGGAAAAAGAGAGAGGCATATGTAAATTACACTATTTCTTGATTTTGGTTGTTAAACACTTATGATAATTTAGCAAGCACTTTACACTACTTTAAAGAAGTGTTTGCTTCAAGTAAATGATATTCATACAGTATTTGATAGGCAGCTACAAAGGTGAGTCATGTTAGCTTGAATAATAATGAGCATTGTGAATAAGGAAGGCAAAGGCCTGACCAAAATAACTGAGCTTTTAAAGCAACAAGATGCAGCTAGTAGAGGTATAAATGGGACAAGTTAATTTGTCAGAAAACCTGAAGTGTTAACAGCATTTATTATGTTTTAATTTATTTAACTTATGATGTTATAATAAGCTAACCAAAGAGAGGGTAGGAGAATTATTTTACAATTATATCTGCGCAGCAGTGAAAACTGTGTGTAATGCAGTTCTCACATGGCTAATGCTCACATACACACCCTGTTTTTAACAACACAAGACCCTAATTAGCTTGGCCGGTTGCGGCAGTTATGTGCAAGTTATAACTTAGTCTAGTTGTTGCGTAAATGAGTGCTAGATTACAATTTACACACTTATCTCAAATGTCACCCTGCCTATAAGCAAAATATTAATTGAAGCCTCTGTCCAGGAGTAATGCAGAATAAAATGGTAGACTGATTAATCAATGATAAATGAACTCATCATGTCAGACTTTAGTCATGCTGTTCAGTCCAGGTCTCAATACTAACAATACAATACATAAATGTCAATTTTTTGTTGTATTAGTATTTGTTTATTCACACTGATCAATTGTAGAAACAATTCCAGAATATTTATTATTTACACGTTGAATTATACTATGTAGACTTTAATGTAATTTATGTACTGTTCAAAAGTTTGGGGTCTGTAAAATTAATTTGAATGTTTTTTGAATGTCTCTTACGCTTAACCAAGGATGCATTTATTTGATAAAATATACAGTAAAGACAGTAATATTATATTATTACAATTAAAAATAGCTGTTTTCTATGTTGTTTAAATAATGTTTAAATAAAAATGTAATTTATTCCTGCGGCTATGGTGATTTTTTAGCATCATTACTCCGGTCTTCAGTCTCACATGATCCATCAGAAATCATTCTAATATGCTGATTTGGTACACATTTCTAGGAACATTTCTTATTATTATCAGTGTTGAATAAATTGTGCTGCTTAAGATTTTTGTGGAAACCGTGTTGTTTTTTCAGGATTCTTTGATGAATAGAAAGTTAAAGAACAACATTTATTTGAAATAGATACCTTTTGTAATATTATAAATGTCTTTACTCACTTAATCAATTGAATGTGCAGAATAAAAACTACTGAATGGTAGTGGATCTATAATAGATTCTTTATGTGTTATATTTCAGTGGAAAATGAACCCTGTGTATCTAAGAACAATTGTCCTATGTCATCTTTACTATACATTTATTTGTCAGGCATTTTTTTTTCAAGTGACATTCAATGTATGCATTTCGGCATTGTGTATGTGTGTGCTTGTTTTCCCTGGAAATCAAACCCTTATCCCTGGTGTCACAGGTGTTTAGTCATAAGCTTTATTTTTCTGCTGTTGGGTTTGTTTTCAGTATGGAATAGTCCTGGATGCTGGATCCTCTCATACGGCCATGTTCATCTACAAATGGCCAGCAGACAAGCAAAACAATACCGGCATTGTCAGTCAACACAGCGAGTGTCATGCAAAGGGTGAGTAGACACTGATAAATGGCTTGTGATATTCCTCATTTGAAGGTCCTTCTGTATAAAAACGTCTGTTATGAGACTTAACGTCAGCAGATAAAGTTGAGGACATTAGAAAAAGAAAAGATCAGTACAATAGGGATGTGAGACTACTAAAACCATGTGTAATGCCTTGAACTAGAGGGTTTCGTCTTCATTTGATTCTTTTTTAGAAACAATTTACCCACATATTGGTTTCGAAATATATCGCACTTCTCAAAATTCACTTACCAGACAGATATTACAAAATCCAAACGACAAAGTCAGAAGTTTTACTTCATTTATGAATATATTGTAATGAAGTTCTTGGTTTTGTTTTTGAGAGAAAGAAGAGAAGTGCTGAATATGCACACATTGTTGCCTACTTCCTGTTTTGTGGTTGTTGTCACGGAATGGGTAGATTAAAGGTGCAAGGACTCAAGTGCAGAAACAATGGGTAATATTTATTAAGTAAACAAACAAACATAAACTACAAACAAAACTCCCTCGTGGGGGAAAATAAGAATGATAACAGGCAGAACCAGGAAACACAAGGAACATGGAAAACTTGGACAACGAACCAGCACGGGACTGCAAACACAGGGAGACTAAATAGGGAACAAACAAAGGAAGGTAACGAGGCAGGCAGCTGAGGGACATTAAACAATAACGAGATAACAAGATGGGCGGGGTTTGACAATTGACAGGAGAGCACATGGCACAAGGAAATAACGTGACAGCCATGTGCTCACAACAGACCAGACAAACACAAACACATGACAAACAGGGAGTGTCACAGCTCTGTCACTGAACCAAGAGAAAACCCAGACAAGGGTGAAAGAACTGTGACAGTTGTGCCCTTTTAAAAGTAAAAGTTGCCCTTTTACAATTTCATCACTTTTGAGTCTCCAACTCAACTCTAAGGATCTGCACAGAATCAGGATGTTAAACTCCTAGTACCCCAAAAATATTGCTGATTAGCAAAGATCTATGGAAACATCTGGAATAGGCACACAAAAAATATCTGGTTGCATTTATGGTTGTCAAGGATAGTGGCATATGAGGCAGTGAAATAGGAACCGATAGTTCTTATGAACTCGGCGTGGTCATACTTCTTTAGATAATCTATGATTCATTTCAGATATCCGGTGACATGACCTCTCTCTTCCTCTATCACTTTCTCCAATCAGGAGGCGGGATCTCCAGTTATGCAGGTGTCAGAGGAGGAGCAGCCCGTAGCCTTGAGGAATGCATGGAAAAAGCCTTGAAGGAGATCCCAAAGTGGAGACACAGACTCACTCCTGTGTATCTCGGGGCCACAGCAGGCATGAGGCTACTGAAGTGAGTCAGAAGGCTCACAACTTTGTTCCAAAGGCTTTTTTAATCACTGATGACAAAATGATCATTATATAGCAGGGGTGGGGAACGTTGATCCTGGAGGGCCATTGTCCTGCAGAGTTTAGCTCCAATCCTGAAAAAACACTCACCTGCCTGTAACTTTAGCAATCCTGAAGACCTTGATTAGCTTCAGGTGTGTTTAATTAGGGTTGGAGCTAAACTCTGCAGGACAATGGCCCTCCAGGATCAACGTTCCCCACCCCTGTTATATAGGGACAGTATCTATATCCTATATAACTTACCTCATATAACTTGCCATATGCTACCATTGGTTTAGGGCCAATATTATTTTTTTAAAAAGATATTAATACTTTTTTTTAGCAAGGACACAATTGATCAAAAAGTGACAAAAAATATATTGTTTTTATTTTATTTTAAATTCATCAAAGACTCCTGGGGGAAAAAAACGCGTATCATGTTTTTTTTCAAAATTATAAAGCAGCACAACTTTTTTCAACATTAATAATAAGAAAAAGTGTTTCTTGAGCACCAATCAGCATATTATAATGATTTCTGAAGGATCATGTGAATCTGAAGACTGGAGTAATGGCTGCTGAAAATTCAGCTTTGCCATCCCAGGAATAAATTACATTTTAAAATATATAAAAATAAAAACATGGATTTTAAACTCTAATGATATTTTACAATATTATTGGTTTATTTATTTTTAATAAATCAATTCAGCCTCGGTGAGCATAAGACACTTCTTTCAAACACAATAAAACAAATCTTACCGTCCCCAAACTTTTGTATGTATACAAAGTCTACATTGTTCAAAAATCACTGCAGGATAAGTTCTGATTTTGATATGCAGGTATAGAATAAATTGTATTGAAAGTGAAAAATTCATATATTTCTGTCGTATCACACAGTATTTCTAAACCCAAAGAGTCAGATGAGGTTTTGAAGGAAGTGGGAGACAAACTGAAGACCTACCCATTCAGCTTCAAAGGTGCCACTATTTTAAGTGGACAAGAGGAGGGAGCTTATGGATGGGTCACAGTCAACTACCTACTTGAAAAATTTATCAAGGTATAGACTGAAGTTTTGTTCTAAAATGCAAAATCAAGACATATTTCAGAGACTAATTTATTGATAATTCCACTGTATAATTGTATGTTTTATGCACATTATCTTTCTAATCCTTCATTTCTCTAGTATGGTTTTGTGGGTCAGTGGCTGTCTCCAGGCAGAGACACTGTTGGTGCGCTGGACTTTGGTGGAGCTTCTACTCAGATCACATTTGTGACTGAACAAACAGTGGAGAACGAAGACAATCTGATGAACCTGAGTCTGTACGGACGAGACTATAAGATTTACACTCAGAGTTTTCTGTGTTATGGCCGAGACCAGGTCTTACTCAAACTGCTGGCACATCTGATCACGGTTAAGTGCAAACCTTTTAAATTACCATTAGACAATATGATTTGATAGCATTTAGAGTATAATATCTGATGTTTACTCTTTCTTTATGTGTCTTATAGACTCAGGGTTCAGACAGCTCCATAGTCCATCCTTGCTATCCTGCAGATTACAATCACTCCATGAAGCTGTGCAGTGTGTTTGACACTCCATGCAATAAAAGACAAACTCCCTGTAAACCTGATGACAACCTGCAAATAAAGGGCACTGGAAACTACAATCAATGCATGGGAAACGTTTCTCATCTCTTCTCTTTTAACCACTGTTCTTATTCCAAATGCTCCTTTGATGGAGTCTTCCAGCCAAACATTACTGGAAACTTCATGGTAAGAGTTTCTAGAGTGGATAATTTAAACTTGAATGCATTGTTGAATATTTTTTTAAATATATTTTCTCAACCGGCATAATATGAAATTTGTTCCTTCATCTGCCTTAGGCAACATTAATGTCTTTACTGGTGGGGGATGGTTGTGGTGACGTGTAAGCAGCTATTAAGTGGGACAGCTCAAAGCATTAAAATAAATCATAAATTCATCTTCTGGGCACTCGTATGTCATTATTGCATGTGTCATTATTATGATTACGCAATCTCTCTCTTTCTTTTTCTTGCACAGGCATTTTCTGCATTTTTTTACACCCATTCCTTTCTTCAGAAAGCTGCAGGCATCACCATCACATCTCTAGCAGATTTAGAGGACGCTGTCCGTGTCGTCTGCAACATGAGCTTTCAGGAGGTACCACCCCGTTGAGTTCATTTTGAGCCCTGCTATTCTGAGATGACTTTCCCCTTATCTCAGCAATCGACCAATGATTTAGAGTCTCAGGTTCTCAGATTAAGAGAACTTGCTTTATCTTTGATGATAATATGTACACTGTTTTGTTCAGTTAAATAATTATTAGCAAATGAAGCAATATTGAACTTACTGATCTGTTGATCTATTTAGCCTAGTTTATTAAATGACTTTCAGATATTTCCCATGGGAAAAAAAATGTGTTTAAAGAGGACCTATTATGCTTTTTTACATTTTCAACTTTCTTAAGTGTGCAATGTTGCGTTTGAGCATGAAAAAGGTCTGCAAAGTTACAAAGCACAAAATTAACTCCAAAGTCCTTGAAACGCCTCGATTGCAGTCTTGAGTTTTCATCTTGGAACGTACACTCACAGTATTCCTCATTTAAATAATTCCTGCCCAAGGCATGTGCAAGTAAGAAAAAGAAAAAGCAAAAGACGAGGCCTGGTTGAGTTGCGTTAGTAGTCTGTTGAAACACGGTTTAAGGGATCGTGACATATCCGAAACGTTGTTTTTTTTATATTCAAGCATAAAAAAAACTATTCTAGTAGGGTATTCTTTGTAAGAGGGCATAATAGGTCCTCTTTAAATTATTTGACCTCTTCCACTTCACTTTCTCTCTCACTCTCTGTGTGCTAGATGTCAAATATGGCTCCGGATCAGAAAAACCTTCTGAAGGACTACTGCGCAGTCTCAGTCTTTGTACAGGTGCTCCTGGTCAATAGATATGGTTTTGATGATCTCACCTTCCCACACATCTCCTTCCAGCAGAAGGTAACAAGACATATTTGCAAATAATCTACTCTATTTACTTACTTATTAATGCACGTTCCCCATTTTTAGGTACACAAAATTCTTTTTGACACTACCAAGCCCTAATTTTTAAACTCCTCCCTCCAAACATGTCATATAAAGAGCACTCTTGACTGTCCAGTCAAAATCAAGTAAAATGCAAAAGCTGTTTCATTTCATTCAAGCTTCATGAATAAATGGCCCCCTCTATGTTAAGAAAATGTCCAAATGTTTCTTTGGTTTGCAGGCGGGAGGCACATCTGTCGGCTGGTCCCTTGGTTACATGCTAATCTTGAGCAACCTGCTGCCTGCTGAAAATGTGTTACTGAGAAAAGCACTGAGCTCAGGCACCTGGAGTGTTCTGATCCTCCTCTTTTCGGTCCTTCTTATTATGGCGCTATTTTTTCTGTTTCGAGCCATCCGTAAGAAAGAAAATGATGCTGTCATTTAATAATGAATGAGTTATATTGCTCCCTGTGTACATCATTATGCAATGCCCTTAGCAGAGATACTTCAGTACACTGAAAACAATAAGGGTGCACAAAGTATTACATTTCAATAACCCATTTGTTATCAAGCTTATTTTATATAAATTTTATATATTTTAGAAGAGACTGTGCATAAAACATTTTGCGTAAAACATGAGCATGATGTTATTACGGCTTACTAATTTTGTCACTGATTTTATCACTGTCTTTTCATAATGTTGAATGTATGTTTTTTTTAGGTATGATTGTGTGCTGTGCCTTAACAGCATATAATGAATATGTTATTGTTTATAAAACCTTCTAGATTTATCTGTGAGCTATGCTTGTGTGCTATGTTTGTGTAATACAAAGTCAAAGGCACTGAAAACATACAAAATGGAAAATCTTGATAATCTAGCTTTGCAGATACAATAATGAATTAAAAACTGTACTATAGTCTGCTTCTATTCCTTCAGAATCAATGCTTTTATAATATTAAAAAAGTTTGTGTTTACTAATTGTTCTGTGAGAGATTTTGTAGATAACAATAACATACAGATAACAAAAACAGAACGAAAAAATAGTATCTGTTAGCCTCAAAGCATGTGCTAGTGCACTCCTAGTCCTAAATATGAATACAATTCACTTTTATCAAAAATTGATGACTCATCTTGTGCAACAACACCTGCTACCAAATTGCAAGCAGCAAATCATGTTCATGCCTGTGAGACTGTGACAAAACTAAAGACTACTGGCTATTAAAAAAGATGGGTCCTTTGATAAATCCTGCCTAAATTTCCAATTTCAAAGAAATGTACTTTTATATAATTCCTTGTCGGAGCTATTGCCTTGTGTGCAGCTCTCTGACATATACAGTAGCACAGCTCCCGGCTTGAGGTACATTGCCTGTCCTCCTCTTCCCCTCCTCCTCCCCACTGTTTCCTGTATCATCTACACTGTGCTATCTGATTAAGGAATAAAAGGCCAAAAATATAACTTTAAAGAAAACCGAAAATTCTTTGTTTATCCACACACTTTTTGGATTATAATTAAATTATTTAATGTTCTCTTCTACTTTTAAATCATTACACTCCTGGTATGCACTAAGATAAATCGAATGGAACTATGGAAGCCTTAATAATCCCACACAGTAGACAGACATCCTCAAGGAAATGGTGATAAAACACAATAAATTTATCTCAAAAGCCAAGACACTTCTTTGTTCAAGCTCTTCACCTCATTGGCCCAATGATGGAATCTTAAAATCACTTCTAGTCAACGACTTAATAACCACAACCTGGACTTTATGTTTCTAAATGAAACTTGGCTAGAAGACAGCTGCAGTGCAACAGTCCTCAATGAATCATCCCCTCATAACTTTACTTTTATGAGTGTTTGCAGAGCGGGTAAGAGAGGCGGGGGCTTAGCTGCTCTTTTTAAAGATGTCTATCAATGTAAGCAAATATCATTTGGGAATTACCCGTCTTTCGACTATCTGGGTATTGTGTTAAAAGGTGCTCCACGTATTTTACTTATCATTATTTACAGGCCTCCAAAATACTCTCCAGCCTTTGCTGAGGACTTTACAGAACTGTTATCAACAATTTCCTCTGAGTTTGACTGTTTTGCCATTGCTGGAGATTTTAACATAGATAATGCAGAAACCAATATGGCAAAAGAAATCAAAACTGTTTTCAAAACTTTTGATCTGACTCAGCATGTACATGGACCCACACATAATCGTGGACACACTCTAGATTTACTTAACAGTAAGGGTCTAAACATCTCATCGATTGTTATTAAGGATGTAGCACTGTCTGATCATTTCTGTATTTTCTTTGATATATTGATCTCTCCTGCCATTGAAGCTAGATCTGTGTCTGTCAAGAAGAGATGCTTAAATGAGAACATTAGTGTGCTATTTATGAAGGCCATATCTTTAAAACCAAGCATATCTGCTGACTCTGTTAATTTTCTCCTTGAATCTTTTAACTCAAAAATTAAAAGTGTAATTGATGATATTGCTCCTGTGAAAGTCAGGAAAAATAGTGGTAGACAAAAAGCACCTTGGAGAAACTCAACAGCAGTGCAAAACATGAAAAGACAATGCAGAAGAGCAGAGTGCATGTGGCGGAAGACAAAACTTGTAGTCCATTATAACATCTACAAAGACAGCACCCATGCTTTTAATATGAAACTAAGCAAAGCTAGACAGACTTTCTTCTCGAATATTATAAACAGCAACTTAAACAACACACGCACTCTTTTTGCTACTGTAGAGAGACTGACAAACCCCCCAAGCCAGATTCCCAGTGAAATGCTCTCAGACAGCAAGTGCAGTGAGTTTGCTTCTTTCTTCTCTGAGAAAATCAATAATATCAGAAAGGTGATCAGCTCATCCTTGAGTTGCGCTGGGGTCCAACAGATCAGACCACAACCTTAGAAAGTAGTTACTATGTCTGTGTTCGAAGAAATTGATGGCAAAATTTTGGAAGAAACCGTACAGCACCTTAAAACATCAACCTGCGCCCTTGACACACTTCCCACATCTTTTTTCAAAAGTGTGTAAAAACAGCTTAGAAGCAGATCTCCTAGAAGTGGTAAATGCCTCACTTCTCTCTGGGAGTTTTCCAAACTCCCTGAAAACAGCATTTGTCAAGCCACTCCTGAAAAAGAGCAATCTGGATAAGACCATCTTAAGCAACTATAGACCGATCTCAAATCTTCCTTTCATAGGCAAGATCATTGAAAAAGTTGTCTTCAATCAGCTGAACAAATTTTTAAGCTTGAATGGATACTTTGACAATTTTCAATCTGATTTCCGATCGCATCACAGCACAGAGACAGCTCTCATAAAGATAATAAACGATATTCGCTTAAATACTGATACAGGCAAATTATCAGTGCTGGTACTACTCGACCTCAGTGCTGCATTTGACACTGTTGATCACGACATACTTCTTGACAGGCTGGAAAACTGGGTGGGGCTTTCTGGGATAGTCCTAAAATGGTTCAGGTCATACTTAGAAGGGAGAGGTTATTATGTGAGTATAGGAGACCATAAGTCTGAGTGGACATCCATGACATGCGGAGTCCCCCAAGGCTCAATTCTTGCAGCACTCCTATTCAACCTGTATATGCTCCCAACGAGCCAAATAATGAGAAAGAACCGAATCTCTTACCACAGATATGCAGACGACACACAGCTCTACTTAGCCCTATCGCCTAACGACTACAGCCCCATTGACTCCCTGTGCCAATGCATTGATGAAGTAAACGGTTGGATGTGCCAAAACTTTCTTCAGTTAAACAAACACAAAACTGAAGTCATTGCGTTTGGAAACAAAGATGAAGTTCTCAAGATGAATGCATACCTTGACTCTAGGGATCTAACAACTAAAAATCAAGTCAGGAATCTTGGTGTGTCTCTAGAGTCAGATCTTAGTTTCAGTAGTCATGTCAAAGCAATAACTAAATCAGCATACTATCATCTGAAAAATATTGCAAGAATTAGATGCTTTGTTTCCAGTCAAGACTTAGAGAAACTTGTGCATGCTTTTATCACCAGCAGGGTGGATTATTGTAATGGACTCCTCACTGGCCTTCCTAAAAAGACCATAAGACAGTTGCAGCTCATACAGAACGCTGCTGCCAGGATTCTGAGCAGAACCAGAAAATATGAACATATCACACCAGTCCTCAGGTCTCTACACTGGCTCCCAGTTACATTTAGGATTGATTTTAAAGTATTATTACTGGTATATAAATCATTCAATGGCCTATGACCTCAATATATTGCAGATATGCTCACTGAATATAAACCAAACAGATCACTTAGATCATTAGGATCACATCAGCTAGAAATACCAAGGGTTCACTCTAAGCATGGAGAGTCTGCTTTTAACTATTATGCCAGCCGCAGCTGGAACCAGCTTCCAGAAGAGATCAGATGTGCTCCTACAGTAGTCACATTCAAATCCAGACTCAAAACACATCTGTTTAGCTATGCATTTACTGAATGAGCACTGTGCCACTGTTCGTCCGACTGTTTTTACTGTACTTTATTTTATTTTTTATTCTAAACTGTTTTAATTATTCTTATTTGTTTTGATTATTTTATTTCCTCCTATGTAAGGCATTTTGAATTACCATTGTGTATGAAATGTGCTATATAAATAAACTTGCCTTGCCTTTCCTTGCCTTATAGAATGTCTTGTGTGTGTAAAAAAAAAAAAATCACTGAGGATGCTGAATTCAATTTCTTTTCACAATGTATATTGTTTCTATGGCTCCTAATTATAAAATAATAGACAAAACATAACTGTCTTTACTCTAGCGCCACCTAGTGGCCGATTGATGTCTGTTTGCATGCCTGAATAGAAGTTTTGCGTTTCTGTAGTTTACGGTCTCTGACATCCAGACACTTTTAGGGCACAAAATACTGAAATTTCTTTTGTCACTATATGTATATAATTATAAAAATGCATAAAGTGTTTTGTGAGGGTTGTGTTTAGAGGTAGGGTTGGGGTTAAAGGGTTAGTTCACCCAAAAATGTCAAAAATTATGTCATTAATGACTCCAACAACTTCCATTGAAAATGTATGTACGGTATACTGTCCTTGTCCAGAAAGGAAATAAAGACATCATCAAAGTAGCCCATGTGACACCAGTGGGTTAGTTAGAATGTTTTGAAGCATTGAAAATACATTTTGGTCCAAAAATAAAAAAACTACGACTTTATTCAGCATTGTATTGTCTTCCGGTTCTGTTGTCAATCCGTGTTCACGAGTCCGCAGTGACGCTACTGACGTAAGACGCTGCTGACGTGTATCTGGTGCGTCCGTGTATTCGGGTTCAAATAAATATGGCTGGGCAAAAAAATGCAAGTCTTCCTCTGTGTCGAAATCCTGTTTGCGAAGATTGTTTTGTTTACAGCGTGCGTCTCCCTCAGACTGTAAACGAAGCTCTTTCGCACCAGATAACACGTCAGCAGCGTCTTACGTCACCAGCGTCACTGAACGCGAATTGACAACAGAAACGGA